TAAAAAAGTATGGAGATTGGAGTTCAAAAATGGTCTGATCCTTGCATCATCTTCCTTGGACAAAAATGCTCTGCCTTTTGCTTCCTTGACAAAGTGCATCAGACCCTAAGTGAAAGTTATCATTCCCCACCAGAGCAAAACGTTGGGAATGCTCCAACATCAAATGAATTGTTCTATGCATTTCCAAAAAAATGAGTCTTCAGACAAGCTATTCTGTAAAAGTTTGGAGAAAATCAACATTACATTGATTGGGAAGTTCTAATAGCTGAATCTGTAGGTTTACAGCGATGTCTCTTTCAAAGAGAAACTAAGCATGACATTTGTGGATCTTTATAATGCTCATTCCCATGAGCCAATAGCAATTCAGTGCTAGAAGACTCAGATGTTGCTTCATGGGCTTTTAGTTACAGTATTTCAAGCAAAGAATGAAACACTCCCACAACTTCTTGGATAAAATGAAAAATCAATAATGCTGATGAATCTCTGAGGGGACTAATCAGAATATTTCACAAGTGATTTACTGTAGCTCCTTCCTTCCTTCTTTTCTGGGAATTAGGACACAGGAAACAGCACTATCTGGGAGAGAGGGAGTAGGTCTGGGAAATGAATTGCCCAGGAGTCAGAAATGACAAACACCATCTTAGAAAACAGTCTGAAACCATTTCTATACTACAAAATTAAGTCGACCTAACTTACGTTGGCATACAGCCACCACAGTCATTACATCGCTTGTGCATGTTTACACTTTGCTCCTTGTGTCGGTGGTGCACGTCCTCACCAGGAGCGCGTGTATCAATTGTAGTAGCTCAGTGGTAGAGTGCATGCTTTGCATGTATGAGGCCCTGGGTTCAATCCCCAGCATTTTCAGCATAGGGCATTGTGGGATGGCTCCTGAAAGCCAATTACAGTTGACCTAACTACATCTACACCGCTTGTGGAGGTGGAGTTATTAAGTCAGCATAGCGGGCAGTTACTTTGGCGTGAGTGAAATTTAAGTGCAGACACTTGCATAGTTAGGTCGATGTAAGCTGCCTTATGTCGACCTAACTCTGTAGTGTAGACCAGACCTGACAATATATTTTCAGTCTCAAGTTTGAAACTAAGGTGCTTGTTAGGGTGGGCACCTCTCTAAGCAGCACAGTTTCTAACCCCCCTTGTTGGATTGTCTTAGGAGTCCTGTGCAGTGGGGATTTCCCTTCTAGGCACCTCCTAAATTGTGCAGTTACTTCAACTATCAGAGAGAGTGCAGGAGCTCACTAACAGGGCCGGCTCCAGGCACCAGCTTAACAAGCAGGTGCTTGGGGCGGCCAAGGGAGAGGGGCGGCATCTGCGGCAATTCGGGGGCGGCAGGTCCCTCACTCCCTCTAGAAGCGAAGGACCTGCTGCTGAACTGCCGCTGCCGATCGCGGCTTTTTTTTTTTCCAATTGCCGCTGCTGGTCGCGATCGCGCCCTGCTCACTAATACTTAGCAATTCTGCATATCTTCCCCAGTGTCAGAGCCCAAACAGACAGACTGATCTTGGGGTGACATAACATTAGTTAAAGTTGGCTGGGTTCTCCCTTCAAGCCACCCCCTGGACTGCTCTGAGAGGAATCCACACCTCTGAGTCCCTGGGTGTTTTCAGCTTACAAAGCCTGAACAGAGCCCAGCCACTGCCCCAATCCCAGGGTCCCTAGGCACATGCCCATAATGCATAAATCACTCCCCCTTAACTCCCTCCTGAGAGTTGCAACCTGCAGTCCAGCCACCTAGACCCTCTGGGCAAAATCCAGACTCCTCAAACTCTAATCAGGTTCTTCTCCTTCATTTGACTCCTCAAACTCCCCTGTACTTAAACACTCCAGTTCCCAGAACTCCACCCCAAAGGTATGAAGCTTCTGGTTCATAGTTTACTTTCCTTTGGAGGCATGCAGTGGTTATGAAACACATGACTCACACTCAGACACTTTGCTCAAGTCTAAACACATTTGCTCCTTTACTTAATCACATAATGCACAAGAGAATATAGATCATACTGAAAACTAAACCCTATACATTTCTCTGCTCATTTTCTTCCCCACGCCATTCTTTGGGGGTGGAGGAGGGAGTCAGTCAGTGTCCGTTGGGCTGTCCAGAGTACTTCTGCTTCACCACATGGATTGAGGGCTACAATATGGAATCATTTTCTCCATAGGTCAGCCTGCTTCCTTTGCCCCTGACTACTCTGACCACTTCTCTTGGGAGTCCTGGGGCCAACTGAGCACAGGAAAGCAGACAGCCTCTTCATGCCCACATCTAATGCAGGCCCTACATGCAGGGTTGCTCCTCTCTACTTTTCAGCTAGAGAGAAAATGGCCAATAATCCCAGAATGACCACGTCCTCCCTCTTTATCAGGTGACACCCTTGCCAGCTTCCCCATACATGCACAAATCAATGCCAAGCCAACCTCTCCTGACAAAACAGTTCTCCTGGCTGGGAGCCAGACTATTGTCTACAGCAATTACATTTCAACAGTCAGCGCATTTGAAGTCAAATGAAGGAGAAGAACCTGATTAGAGGTAGAGCCCATTTAAGAAGGTGCAAACTTAGTGTCTCCCTGAAAAAACTAGAGGAGTAAGACAAGGCAAGTGTAAATAACTAAATAACTGAGGAAGGCAAATTGTGCATAGACTAGTTTTCTTACTGAGGTGCTCATCAATGACTCTTGATTGAGAGTGGGAACAAAGTTTTTGTTTTCTTTGTAAATAGCTTGGATAGGAAGTGGAATGGATGAAAAAAAACTAAACACCTAATGAATGGGTTTAACCTACACTATAAATATGTTTTACAAACACTAAGCCTTATAAATATTATGGGCTAGTAGGCTGATTTTACTAATGTTTCTTAATTGTTTCTCATTTTAGGCACAAGTTTACCCCCCATCGTAGGTTGCCAACTTTCTAATTTCTGAAAACCAGACCCTCACCCTGCTCCACCTCTTCCCCCAGGCCCTGCCCCAAGCTTGCTCCTCTACCTCCTCCCACCATCGCTCACTGCTCTCTCCCCACCCCCTCAAGTCCCCACCCCCACTCACAGCTGGGCTCCCTCTGCTCAGGGAGCTGGGACGGGAGCTGCAGCCTGATGTGGAGCCTGCTGACTGACTGCCCATGAACATAAGAACGGCCATACTGGGTCAGACCAAAGGTCCATCAAGCCCAGCATCCTGTCTACCGACAGTGGCCAATGGCAGGTGCCCCAAAGGGAATGAACAGACAGGTTATCATCAAGTGATCCATGCCCTGTCACCTAATCCCAACTTCTGGCAAACAGAGGCTAGGGACACCAATCCTGCCCATCCTGGCTAATAGCCATTGATGGACCTAGCTTCCATGAATCTATCTATCTTTTTGAACCCGGTTATAGTATTGGCCTTCACAACACCCTCTGGCAAGGAGTTCCAGAGGTTGACAGTGCGTTGCATGAAAAAATAGTTTCTTGTGTTTGTTTTAAACCTGCTACCTATTAATTTCATTTGGTGGCCCCTTGTTCTTGTATTATGAGAAGGAGAAAATAACACTTCCGTATTTACTTTCTCCACACCAATCATGATTTTATAGACCTCTATCATATCCCCCCTTAGTCGCCTCTTTTCCAAGCTGAAAAGTCCCAGTCTTATTAATCTCTCCTCATACAGAAGCTGTTCTATACCCCTAATAATTTTTGTTGCCCTTTTCTGAACCTTTTCCAATATATCTTTTTTGAGCTGGGGCGACCACATCTGCATGCAGTATTCAAGGTGTGGGCGTACCATGGATTTCTATAGAGGCAATATGATATTTTCTGTCTTATTATCTATCCCTTTCTTGATGATTCCCAACATTCTGTTCGCTTTTTTTGACTGCCGCTGCACATTGAGTGGATGAGATGCAGGTAGGAGGTGGCCTCAGCTGAGCAGGGACTGGCGCAGGTTGATGACTCAGCATCTCCCTCCCCCATCGGTAACCAGACTTTTGATGTCTGATCGGTACATCTGACTGGACACTGTACAGGTCCCCTTTCAACCAGACTTTCTGGTCAAAAACTGGGCACCTGGCAACTCTACCATCATCTTCCCTTCCCCTCCAAAATTGACAAATGTATAACAACAAGTTGTCCTGACACCAAATCATGACACTGATTTTCGATTTACATTTTAAATTTCCAATTTGTCCTGGGTCCCTTACTTGCATGCTGTAATATAAAATTTCCCAAGCAAAAATGAAATTGCTTTTACAATGTGTATTTCAGTAGTGCTCATCATGTGCTAGGCGCTCCGTGTGCATACACACACCTCTCTCCTGCCAAGATGAGTATACAGTTTAAGAAATAAAATTAGCCTTTATTAAAATTTACTGATCAGCTTTCATAACCAAGATTATTTTCACAGAGGATAATTTTCTAAATAGCATAAAGTATTATGGAAATAAGACTATATGAGGAACACACAATAGTTGTATATGGTACGACGCCCTGGACAATGCAGCCCCATCCTTTTTGTCTAGATTAGAAAGCTGAGTTCACAAGTCATTAGCATTTGAGGCACCACAGTTTAGTAAACTGATTTGAGGAAGTCCAAATTTCTCTAAATTACCAGAAGCAGAATAGTCACTGAGGCTGACTACCATTTTGCCTTTAATTGGCAATCATGACAAAACCTTAAGCAGACAGTTACAGAAAGAGATGACTTCTTTTGAGAACAGGCTACAGTTTTAGTGTTCAAAGAATAATAAATAATAATAATAATAATAATAAAAAAAAAAAAAATCAGGCCAAACTTAAGGAGCTTTGCCAACTCCAGTTAAATACAGTGCAAGTTCCTAAAGTAACACCTCACACAGAAAGTTCCAGAAAGATAGTTCTCTCTGGCTCGCAGCATTTTTATGGCAGAGGGAGAGGACTAGCTTGTCTACTGACATGATTTGGAGGATTCTTTTAGTACCATTATACATTTTGATTTTTAAAAGTAACATATAATAAAGTCAAAAGGTAGTAAAGTATTACCTTCTGGAGGAGTTGCAACACTGCTTCCAAGTCCTAATATAACAATGCTGTGGTTCCTTGGTGCTAACATCATAGCAGACTCTTCTCCCCTCTCCCAGTGAGGCACTTTTACAGGCTCCAGGTGGACATTTTCCAGCCTATCCTCCTGCAGGACACTGAACATGTATTTGATGGCCATCTCTAGATTTTTGGAGCCGCTGAGTCTAGGTCCAATGGTGTCAACGAAACGTGCCAGTCTTTCATAGGATCTGTTCTGGGCATTGCCATAAACAGCAAGGTTGATAATAGCCTTGGCAATATCGGAATACCCAGCTATTTCTCTTTTAATTTCTTTGAATGTGTGTTGGTGCCAATGTTGGTGTTCATCCCAGCTTAAAGGTTTCCCGGTGCATTGTGGTAAGAGATGGATGAAAGCTATTAAGAATAGGAATTTCATTTTCCTTCCTTTTCTTTTACTCAGATGCCCTGTTGGAGGGGGGGAAAAACACAATTTTAAATCATTCAGCTATCAGCGATACTCTTGTTATTTATCAAGCAGGCTAAGATAAAAACAAATCTGATCAAAGCAAACTCAAGTGGCAGAGAAGTAAACTCAACTTAGAGACAGAGTTATTGAAGACAAACACAAAAAGATACTTAAACAACTGGACACAAACTTTATTGCTGTTTAAAAAGACATTTCACCCACTGGAATGCAACATCTCTTTAAATAATAGTATTCTGCACTAAATAAAAACTCAATGTTGCTTCCATTTAAGTCGATGGGATGTTTGCCACTGACTCCACTGGAAGCAGGATTGGCCCCTACTGCTAACCCAACACTGGACAAAGCGCATTACTACTGTCAGCACACAATACATCTGGACAAAAAGTCTTCCGAATCTCTTGTGAATAAAATTGTTTCATACTGACCAGCTCTATAAATCAATAATATTCATTTTATATAGTACTTTTAATACCAAGATCTCAAAGCAATTTACAAATGTTAAATAAATCCCAATGCCACCATGAGATAAGAATTCATTTCCCCATCGCAGAGATGTGAGGTTAAACTGAGAAGTAGGTTTCCTAGCCAGTCACTTGGGGCCGGAATTTCTGATGTCAATGGGAGCTGGGGGTGCTTAACGCCTCTGAAAATCAGGCCCTAAGTGACTGGTTCAAGGCTTCTCAGCCCACAAAACCCACAACTTCTACCCTTGAATAATATTTAACAATTCAATAATCTGGAATGCATACCTGCCAGGTATCTGGTATGCACTATACAGTACCCACACTCCTATAATCTCTTATTGTACTCTGAAGAATGATTATACATTACCAACATGTTACTTCTCTTCTGATTAACATGTAGAATATTGGCATTCTCTAGCCTGCCAGTCAAACAACACTTAGGACATGGCTTCAGTTACCAGAGGGTGACCAAATATTTCACAATATAGCATCTCTATGTCTGAGTCCAGATATTTGCACGTGTGACATTTGTTTTAGGTACCTATATTTATCTTTGTTAAAGCCATATGCTTTAAAAGACAGCAACTATCTTCATTATCCCTACTTTAGATGTTCTCAACTGGTTTTATCTCCATCAAGTTGTCAACCTCTTTAAAAAAGATTGTTTGTCTAAAATACAAGTAAACTGACCCAGGAACTTCTGGAAGCATTTGAAAGCTTGTAAGTTTCTTAGTTGTGTTTTTTGTTATAAAATAATTGGAAGGTAGAATATGTAAAACTATTCATTCTTATACACAAGAGGACAGAATTGTTACACTTCCTTTGAATTTAAATTGAGCTGCTATCTGAATGTTAAATATTATGCTCTTAGATGTTAAACACTTTTAAAAAGTTTAATAATGAAAACTAAAACCCTTTAGATGGCCCTAAATCTACAGATGTTAAGAGACCTTTTTAAAAATAAGAATACTATGCCAACTAGTCCCTGGAAGGTTTGATATACTCCTTTCACACATTCATACACTCTTTATAACCGATAGTAAGAAATTATATTTTTCACAGAGATCAAAACATGTGGGTTTTTTTAGCAAAATCTTAATTCTAAATGCAAAATGTACGGTTTACTCTACAAAGGATATTATTCTTGGTAATAATTGTTCTGTGCAGGGGCAAGGGACTAATTGAGTGATTGCTTGTAAAGTGCTTTGAAAATGAAAAAAGTGCTCTACTGCCAAAGTATTATTTTAAGCTGTCCACATTATATTTTCATGTATTCTTCTTCACTTCTATTCATTTAACAAATATTTCTGGATACATGTACTATTCATTTTATCATCACTGACTTGAGAAATTGTTATGGACACATACGTACATACATGGAGGTTACCAGTAAAAACAGTAAAATACTCAAATATACTGCTGTCAGGGCCGGCTCTGGCTTTTTCGCCGCCCTAGGCGAAAAAGCCTCTGGCCGCCGCCCCCCCCGCGGGGGGGGG